TTTATCTCTACCTTACATGTATTCGGCAATCAAAGAAATTTAGAAGATTATCTTTCGTATAAAACAGTTTTGAAATCGGGTAAAACAAAGCCAGCATTTCGTCAACTAATATCTCCTAAGTAGTTCTTATTACTTAAGAGGCCCTGTTAGGGTAAAATTCCATCAAACGACATGGTCTTGAAGCGGCGACATACATGTAGGACAGAAGAAATGGGGACAAACGGACACAAAGATGGGTTAAAACTGCCACAGCAACAGAGAAAAGCACAAATACAATAGTGAAATACTGACAGCGACATGGCTTCCTCCTCAATACGCAAAACTAAAGGTTTTAAAATTCAATTCAGATTAAATTATTTACACAGTCAATGTACCTAACCTTCCTAAAAGGGCCTCACTAAAAATGTAGTTCTACTAGACTTACAGATTACATCCTCTCGTACTTTTGTAAAACAGCCATAGGAGAATTTACTCAATTGTTGACCTGATAATTTCCGTTTATAGGAGGCAATCAGTTTATACAAAGATTCCTATAGCATAATAATGTTGTCCTCTGCCTCACCTTCAGAATCTGTCCATCATCCGGGTACTGATCCAAGATTTTTTTCAACTGCTCAATCAGCGATGGCTGAATGAGATTAAAACCTAAGGAAAAAGGGGACCAGTATTATACTCTTACACCTTTTTATAGTTTTAACTCTAAAACACTGCCTGAGAAAGGGATGATAGCCACATTTTATTATAACTATGGTCTGAGTAGACAGGTTCGGCCAGCGTTTTTGGGTATACTATATATTGGGGTATTTAATTTCAGTTATACAGTATTTTTAAGCTGATTCCTTAGTAAAAGAACCTAACATACATTGTAGATGAAACTTGGTACACTGATGTAACAAGTCAAGAAGATGATAAAAAAGTAATAAAAAGTGGGGGTCACCGTGCACGTTTTGACGTCACAATGCTGACAAATACGGCTATTTAGGACCCTTTTACAAAAACCGCGGGCAGCCCAAAACTAGACAAAAAGGAGGGATTTTTTCGATGATACATGTGGTATCGCACAGAATTTGACTTTAACGGATTGTTTATCCACTTACGTACCAGAAAAATGCCTTTTAATGCCCTTGTTTTTACTTTACGCTCCAAAGTAGAATTAAATTGGACACGCGCTATTCGACCCGTGATAGCTCAATCCGTACAATTTAGTAAAACTGCCAAAAAACTGAACATAGATTTATGCCATTTTTTTTCTCATCGAAAGGAAGCACTGTCCTTATGAAAATCACGAAATAAAATATGGGGGTCACCACACTCGTTTTTGCAGTAGAGCTGCAGAAAGTGCGCACCAAATGCACTTTCTTAAGAGATTTTTGAGAGAGGACTGGGGCGCGTTTCAAAATAGAATGTATGTGAAAGGGGGAAGACAGTACTAAAAAATCCGTTCTTATAGAATTTACATCGAGATATCACATTTAGGACACAATGTGATAAAGAAAGCGTTTAACTGAAAATCAAAGTGAGTAAGCACAAGTTAAACATCCACTATCGAGGTTCTCCGAGAGGAGGTCGAACTCAGCAACACGCGTACTGCTTACGTTATGCACATTCCCAACACATTGGGTCTCACCTCGGCAAGAAACAACAGCAAGCAAAAATTCCAATAGCGTCTTCATTTTAATAATGTTACTTCACATGCTCTTTTTTACGGCGGCCATCTTGTTATGCGCAGTAAGAGATGCGCAGTGCAAAACCAGGGAATCACCTTAATGCTTAAATTGGGTATAAAGTATTCACTAACGACAAATTTTGGGTATAAAGTATACCATGGTTTTCTTAATTTTGCCATGAGTTTCAGTATGATTTTTGGTATATTCGAAGGTTTATTTCAGGCATATTGGTATTCCCCTACCCCTAAGGCCGACCCTGAGTAGAAGAATCTTAGAAGCACTGATTACTTGACTTATTAATATTTCTAATTGAACAGGGGAAGGAAGGATGAATACAAATTGGTCCCTGATTAATAGAAAAACGGTTACTCCCTAGTGACTACATGAAATTTTAGCATACCACCCAGTACAATTGCAGTTATCTACACTTTGTAGATATTCTTGTACCAATTTTTTACTGCCCTGTTCAAAGGAGCCTGCAGATGCCTTGAAGCTGAGGGAGCTGCATCTGCTTGATCTCCTCCACTCACTACCTTT